GTGTGTAATAGGTAGAGATGCCCACTTGCTAGTTTTATGTCCTACAATAATAGAACAGTGCTTTGAAACAGGTTGACAATATAGAAATATTAGTTGATGTAGCATTACTTTTCAAAATGTATTATGGAAATTCATTGTGGAATCCACAGGAGGAGATAGTCATACAGGTTGAAAATTGCTATGCTATGAAGAACTTGTTGCCAAACAGGCAGCAAAAGACAGTGTCTCATAATGCCAAATCAAAAGGTTTGGTTCCACCAAACACCTCTCATTTTTGTAACCAAGAGGAATTCACAGATAACTCATGCCCAAAAATTGGTATACACAACTACAAGCTTTAAAGGGTTGTTTAAAACGAATTTACAAATCATAATGTTAAACCTCTTCCACCTCATTGTGGAAGAGGCCGACGCCTGGATCACTTCTGGCTTCACTAGCCTCTCATCGCTGGTCGCCGCACGCGCCAACTAACGCTACGCGTGCTCGCCCTTTCTGCTCTACGTCGCACCATTGTTCCTTTAGTTAGTACGTCCGCGTAAGTTCCACCGTTTGGCGGTGATCTGTGTTCGTGTTTACCCGCACGCTCGGTGACACCTCGCCATCTAGTGCTGTTGGGCGTGTACTCAATTTAACTCCTGCTTAATGAAACACGTGCTAAGCACGTTCCCGAAAAAAATAATGTTAAACCTCAGACAATTAACCAACTATGAAATATCTCAACAATCTTTTGTAAACCTCTACAAGTTAGCAATACACATAGATCAGCTAATGAATCATTGATAGCAACAAAAGCACGAGAACTCCATCAAACGAAAATAATGTAGATAACCATAATTGATGTAACCAAATCAAAAGAACTTGCAGACAAAAGAACACTAAAAGCAACCAATTCAGATAAAGGACCAAGACATGGTGACTACTTGATTAGACCGAGATGGTCTAAAAGAACCCAAGAGCTATAGCTAAAGTCTAGACATGCCTAGTAGCAAAGGTAACTAGATCACATCAGATATCAAAAAACAAAGCAGATAAACTCGTAACATGGTTCATTACTTTAATTAGATACTGTCATTGCTTGGTATTATCAGTTTTGAGATAACCAGAATCCAACAATGAGGCAAGCGGATGAAACATGATAAATTATTGAGTGCAGACTGTTTGAAGATATACTTTATCAATCAAATGGATTTTTAGGACAAAGACACAATCACACAACCTTAGGCCCTCCTATGTTCTGAACTACTGATATTTAGCATCCATGTAATTTAAAGTAAGAAATGGCATGTATACCTTCTCATGCAACAACCCACAGATATAGCACTACAGTAGCACATGTAACCTTAGAGTGAAAGAAACTTGGGCTCAAATTGTTACATCAACTCTTAATGCACTACAGAACACTAGCTGAAGACCATAAGGTCTAACAAAGGTGATCCACATTGGTTATTGTTTGATTAGGTCGTTCCTACTTAAATTTATCTATGGCCATTGTCCTTGACTATCTTTCTCTTATCTAATCGACTACAAATGATACAAACGAAGTTCAGCAGCACGAGTTTGCAGCTCTGAGGCCCTGACACTAAAATGAAGTGTACGATTGTTTTCTAAACTGCATGACAATAAGATGCCATAAAATGCACCATTGTGTTCAACTACTTCTCTTGGACATACAATGATTGTCACATAACTAACATGGAAGTAACCCAATTTGATGCTGAGCTAAGGACTAACTCCTTATCTTCAGTTTTCAGCCCAGAATTCAGATTCACAAAAGGAAAATCATCCATGAAGGACGAGAAGCTAATAGTGCTACCCACTACCCACACTTGTTACATTCTACACATTTGCACTGAATTGGGCAGTGGGGACTAGTAACTTTCGCATAAGCAAGTCCGGTAAGCCATGCCACAAAACCAGTTTAACACGGAACCATCTACAAGTAGTTAATGTGGTTATCGAAGAGAAATCTTCAAGCCCAGCAATCAACAATTCAGAACGGCTCGAACTCCCACCGGAATTCAGGGAGCCATCCCAGCAAGTCCAAGTCCAGACCTCGGAGCTACCAGATACTAGCGCAACAGCACACCACAAGCACCATAGAAAGAAGAAAAAGAAAGGGGCCCTTTCCATGAAACCAGATCCCGTTGACTCCGGAGCACAAGTACAACCGACGCCATCATCGCAGAGGGGAAAGGAATCTCCCGGGGGTACCTGCACGCCGCCGTCCCCCTGCGGGCAGGGCACCAGCACGGGCCCGGGCCCCTGCCGCTCGACGGGGACGGGAACCTGGACGCTGAAGCCCCGCCTCGCCCCGTGCGCCGCCGCGGCCGCAGCAGCCCTGTCATGCGGGAGTTCCGCGGCGGCGGCGGCGGCGGCGGCGGCGGAGGACGGGGAGTCCGGGTGGTCGGCGTCGTCCCGCGAGATGCCGAAGAAGCTGCCGATCTTGCGTAAGAAGCCCATCGGCGGCGAGGCCCCCAGTCGATCCGACGGCGGCGCGGTGGGAATGCCAATGGCCCGCCGACGCGATGTGATTATGTGAAGAGTTGGGCAGTGTGGGGGGTTTCGTCGATTTTTTAGTCTTTTTATATATACTCTCACCGTCTAATCTTAAATTTAGATTTATAGAAAATTATATTAACATGTATATATCTAGATAAATAGGATCAACATAAAAGTATATAATGTAATTAACCTAATATTAAATATTTGATATTATAATTTTTTGTATTTATTTATATATATTTGGTCGAATTTAAGTTTGTTTAACTTATCTCAGTACGAGATGTGTTTGGTATGTTTTTATTGCGTAGTAGTAGTGGTGGTGGTGAAAGGAGGAGGACAAGTGGAAAGGGAAAAATACATCTTTTTCCAATTTTTTATTTTATTTATTTTTACACTTTTCTATATCAAGTGTCTGATTTTTATTTTGTTGTTATTTAGGTAACATGTAATTTTATCACTGTTTGGCTATAGAAAAAATTAATTATTGTTTCTTGTGAGTTGTTCTTTCAACTGTACTAGTTGTCTTTTCGTGAGTTGTTGCCTAAAACTTTCCAACAATTTAGGCATCTGAAATATAAGAGCATCCGCAAGAGTTTCCAAAACCCACTTGCAATATAGATTTTTTAGCAAGGTTGAAAAAATTTGCTCTCCAAGAACTCCCTATCTCTCCACATTTGGGAAAATCAATCCAATCGTGCGGAAATATACGCGCGCGTATCGATGTGCTAATCCGGAGGTGGAAGGATACATGAAGAATAAAGAGTATGACATGATCCCAGATACAAATGTAAGAGAGAAAGAAAGTATAAAAGTGGTTGGGGAGATTAAGAAATAGTTCAGGATTCCTAATGTAAAATTGTCTTGAGCGAGGCTTTGGAAACTGCTGGAGGAAGCCAACAAATATACTCTCAACTTTTTGTAGCCACTTACAAAACTTATTGGTTTACCAACTAAATTTTGGAACTATTGGAGATGCTCTAACAACTCTCTTATTTTTATCCTTATTTTTTTTCTTCATCAAGTTATGATTTTTGTTTGGTTTACTTTTAGATGTATGTAAAAAAGAGCATCATATGAATTATGATGAGAGAGGATATTATAGTTTGGGTAGGGCGTGGTTGAGAACTTTGAGATTGAGACGATGATGCATGAATGAGCAAATTATGAAGAAGGGATGGTGATTATTACTTAACGGAATGAACAAGGCATGCAAGTGCATGGACAGCATGATGACTCTTCATGGAGATTAGTGGTTTGAGTAGTGGGGCAAGATAAGTAATGGTGGGTTAAAGGTTGGATTATTATTTTATTTTTATCTTTTTTTTACGATTGTTAGCTTTTCGATTGAAAATCAATGGCCATGAGACAAACATAAATTGGATGGATATTTTCCATAATTGTGTGGTTTGATTAAGCCATCTTTGAATACATAACCTAGGACACATATAGGTAGTGGGATGGGGTTCCTCTTGCCCATGATTTAAAGCTATTTTGTGTAACTCCAAGTTATCTATGTGGCAGACTCATGAGAATATCCAAGTTCTCCATATAGATATAATTGTAAATTAATACATCGAAATGTCATCTTCAACTCGATCCAAGTTCTCTCATCTACGGTGCAAACCAATACAATTCTCAATAATCCTAAATTGAAACCCAAATAGCCTATCACATTAAAGGCCAGTTTAATAGGGCTCTTTCTTTGGCTCCTCTTGTAGAACAACTTCTCTTGAGCTGAAGTTGTTTTGAGCAAAAAACGGTTCTAATGATAGTTTTGTTATAATTTGTGCCAAATTCGTGAGGACGAGTTGGGAGAAGCCATATTTTCGTCGCTCCACTCACATAGTATAGAGTTTAGACGCACTCGACTGCTCTATGCTTATTCGTAGGAGCCATTTCTTGGATGGCCGTTTGGCAACGTTTCGGATAGCCTCCCTCCAGGAATCAAGAACAAGAATAATCAAGGACAAATAAATGTAGAGGCACACACAAAAGACTCGACTTTATTCTCAAAGTTATGCTACGTACAATGACTTTCACCAAACAAGTTGGTGCAAGTGGTGACAAGCACCATATGCATGCATCTATGTACCTTGCAGTAATGCAAATCATTCACTTATTCATCCCTCTCCGAATTCATCCCTCTCCTCCACTCTCCCTATGTATATATATCGACACACATCTGGATACTTTTAAGGGCTTGTTTGATTGTACTTCACTTCACCAGGCCGGAAGAGATTAGGCGAAAAATTAGTTATTTTTTCACCTCGATTCCTTCCAACCTATATGGATTGGAGTGAATTGGAGTGCATATAGATAACTCCCTTGCTAGATGACATCAGTGATAATGATACGTTCCGATCACACGCTATACATGTATCATGGTAAGTGAAGTTCGTAATGGTGTGGAAGAGATACTACTGCGATTGATAATCATATACTATTTGGAGTGGAAGTGATGATCATAGAGTATTATAGAATGGAACTAGATAGAGTAATTAATTGGTGATAGGGATGAGCCTGCCGTAGGCCTTGCGATCGTTGTCCTTGGGCACGGTGACGGTGAGCACGCCGTCCTGGAGCGCCGCCTGCACGTTGTCGGTGTTGGCGTTGGGCGGCAGGCGCACGGTGCGCACGAACCGCTCGTTGCTCCGCTCCACGCGGTGCCAGCGGTCGCCCTTCTCCTCGGCGGCGCGCTGCCGCTGCCCGCTGATCTTGAGCACCTTCTCCTCCTCCACCTCCACCTCCACCTCGTCGCGGCGCAGCCCCGGGAGGTCCGCCATGAACACGTGCGCCGTCGGCGTCTCCTTCCAGTCCATGCTCGCAGCCGAGAAGGGAGGCAGGCCCAGCGCCGGCGCCGCGAACGCCGCCCGCGTGATCGCGTCCACCAGCGGCTGCTCCATGATGTCGATGCTCACCGGCTCCACTGCCGCTGCCTCTGTGCCGCCGCCTCCCTTCTGCTGCTGCCCCTGCTGGCTGCTTGCGGCCCAGTATGCTGGTGATCATCGACATGATGATGCCACGATCTGGATCAGTCGCTGTGTAGTGTAGTCTGTGTATTAGTGCTCACTTATTGGTGGTCCAGTACGTCCATGCCATCTTGTCTATTTATAGACGAGCAAAGGCAAAGGAATACTTCTTGGTTGGTCATGACTTGGTGTATATGCCATCGCATACACCATGCATATATGCATGTATATGATCTAGCTTCTAGGAGCTTGTATACCTCTTGTGTGATGACGATAAGAGATTCTCACGAAAGAGCCTCTCTCTCTCCCCCCGAGGCCCGAGCTTAAGTTTTTGAATGACTTGAAAACTTAAGTTTGATTTTTAATGAGTTAAAACGTTTTCCTTTAAATTAACCGACTTGTTGAAAGAAGTCCAAAAGAATAGCCTAAATCACTGCACCCAAAGCTAACCAACTTCTTCCTGCCGAGATGTGATGAGAACCAACAAATCTAACATAACGTGCTCTTACAGACCCTTTGCAGACCTTATTCCAATACACATCATCAGTCATCACCACCACCTTGACCAACATAAAATTAAATCTACAAAGAGGCGGGTCCTCCTCCTCTAGCCGTTGCTGCTGCTGCGGCCGTGGTGGATAAAAATATGTTTTTTCATGAAAAGAAAAGATGATTATGGTTAGGTCTCAGGTGTTTTTTAGCAAAGAAGGGTGATTATTGTCCATTTGTACTACCGCAATATGCTTCATAGAGATGTTATCGAGCTCTTTTATAGTGGTTTCCGGATTAAAGCCGATACTTTCAAGTAATTTCACTTCTAATTTGTTCTGATCATCTGATGTAACTAAAACATTTTGAAATTCTATTTACTTAAGGGTCATGGAGTAATTGTTGCTCTCCGTTAGGAACAACCCCCTCCATGGTTCTCCCACACCGCCCGCTGCTATCAAAGTGCCGAGCCACATGCTGCGGCCAAGCAGTGGGCCGCGAATCTCACTGCCCAACCTTCAACCGGCCGGGAGCTCACACTCGTCAACCACGCCACCACCTCCTCTTCCTCCTCATCGTCCATCCAGCATCCATCACATCTAACACTACTATAGATGGACCTATCACCAACATCTTTATCACCACCGGTATCATTAAAACCGTTGGTGACAGCTATCACCGCCGGTTCGTAAAAACGTGCGGGTTGATAACTATCACCGCCGCTTCGTCTTACCAACCGACGGTGATAGTCCATTATCACAGCTGCTTTGCACCACCAACCGGCGGTGATAATGTGCTCCTCATCACTACCGCCTCGCCATATGAACCAGCGGTGAAGACATTTTCACCGTCAGCTTGTTGTATGATACGGCGGTGATAACTATGTTGCAGTATAAATAAATTCATAACTTTTTCAAATAAAGTCAGATGAAAACAAACTTTATATAAAAGTTGTAGACCTCGACGAGATCGACAACTTTATAGTTGATGACTTTTTCATTTGAAACCATTTACGGTCCCAGAATTCTGTTTGAAGCACTCAAATTTTGAAATTCAAAATTTTCGAATTGTATAAACGACATTAGATGGAAAATTGACCAAAACCAAAGTTGAGATCTACAACTTGTAGTTGATAACTATTTCATTAGAAATCATTTATAGTCTCAAATTTGTATATGAAGTTTTAAAATTTTAAAAACCAAAATTTTCAAACAACCTTGGATAAAAAGTCGACAAAAACCAAAGTTGTAGATCTCGATGAGAACAACTATGTAGTTGATGAGTTTTTCATTTGAAATCATTTGAGGTCCCAAAAGTCTGACCGAAGTTTTGACGTTTTGAAATTCAAATTTGTTAAACAACCTTGGATGACGAAACAACTAAAATCAAAGTTGTAGATCTCGATTAGAACAACAAATTTGTAGTTTATGACTTTTTCATTTGAAGCCGTTTAGGGTTCTAAATGTTTATTTTAAATCTTAAAAAATGAATACTAGGGAATGGAATGGATTAATGGATATACTATATAGACACAAGTGACTTAGGGATGGAGTGTAGAGAGGAGTGGCAGAGGAGCAAAGGACAAAGGTCTCAGGTTCGAATCCCAGCACCACGTGACTTAGAGGTGGAGTAGTTAGAGGAACAAAAGAGAAAGGTATCAGGTTCGAATCACAGCACCGCGTACCATGAAAAATAGCGTGGAGTTGAAGCAGGAGCAACTTCTCGGTACCATGAAGCTAGGGCTAGTGGGGGGCATTCCAGGATTGAAACAAAATTTTTTGCTATTTTTTGCCCATTTTGGGAATTTTAAAAATTTAAATCACCGCCAGATGGTAATACGAACCGACTGTGATAAGTTATTATCACCGTCGGTTGCAAACCGTATGTGATGTGATGAGGATGTCATCACCATCGATAGCTTACTGCCGAGACTAAAAAGCGCTAGTGATGAGCTCTACAAACCGCCTAAACGTAGTAGCATAACCTCCCCACGGCCGGGAGCTCATGCCCGTCAAACCTCGCCACCACCTCCTCGTCATCTATCCAGCATCCAGGCCATCGAATGAGCCCGTGGCTATGCGCTTTACGGTCCCGTCCGATGCCGGAGTAGCGCTCACTCGCCTTGCTCCTCCACACCCTCACCGGAAGACTAGTCGGTCGTGTTGTCGTCCTACTCTGTCCCCACACCAGAATTGGAGCCACGCAACACCAGAACCAGAGCGGCGCCATCGTGGAACTCGACTCCTCCGCCGCTTTCATCACTTCCTCCTTGCTAGGGTCCATCCACGTGCCACCGGCCACCGGTGGCGCCGAATCTCTGTGAAATCTCTTTGGTGGCAGATCTCGTCTCTGGCCAACGATGACCGAGCCGACGTGATGTTATGTGTGGCGTTGTGGAGATAGGGGTGGGCAAAAGGGAGAAAGGGAACAAAGATGAACAGACATATGATGGATTATGGATCAGAAGAACATTGTGCTACTCATCCATTTTTCCTGCAATATAAAATTACTAGATTACCCATAGTCAATCAAATAATAAAAACTATAAAAAATACTGATAATGGTCCCACATTTTTTTACAAACCCACCAATTTAGTACGCAATTGGTACCTTTCAATACCTTTCCTTTGGTAACTGTAATTATTTAGCCATTAGAATTCTTCTCACCGACCATCCTCATTTTTTTCAACCATAATAATTTTTCTCGCTGTTATTACCAACTTTGCCCAACAACTAGCTCAGTTGAGAATAACATACGTATCTCTTATGTTTCTTGTTTGATGCAGAGTGGCTGAGATAACATACATATATATCTCTTGTTATGTTCTCGACAGCATAATTTGTGTACTCACGTATTTTTTTCACATGAATTTCCCCTTGTTGAGTACTCAGCGAAGGAACCATGTATAGTGTATATGGACATGTATCATGTATCATCAACCATTCGACCCCAGGTGCAAATTTGATTTCCCCAAGAAGATATGTGTGGGGTTGTCTGTACATCATACATTGGAATAATGAGGAGGGAATGGAGGATTCGTTGTTCGATTGCTACATGCACTGGTGCCATGGAATTTTCACAAGAGGCCGCACGAACGTGGGAAGCATGGTTGCCCTCACTTAAAGATGGCAACGGGCAGAAAAAACCAGCGTGGTTGCGCGGATCCATGAATCATGCTGCATGGGCACGAGCACGCGAACGGACACAGGTTGTTGCCGCCTGGCGGGTGGTGGCGGCGGCGCGGCATGAGATTTTTCTCGCAGGCGCGGGTGTGCGAAGCCACTATCCGCGTAGATATTAGTCCCACAAGCGAATAGATTGCATATCTTATCATATCAGACCAAAGTCACATGCACATCTGCCTAGTTCTTTTGATCTACGTTCTCTCATGTTCTACAAACCTCCAACCAACCTCGGTTTTTATGGCCTCTCTAGAACGTGGGATTCTCGCAATACATGAGTAATGTGGGATCCTCAAATGGAGAGACTAGCGTCCGAATGTCCGGACGCCCGCGCCTGTTGCCCATCCGTTTTCAATAATGATAGCCTCATGGCGCCTATGGATGTAGCTTCGTGCTCCGTTTCGCCTCATACTCCGCGCCTGTTGTCTGCCCATGGATGCAGCTTCGTACTCTGCTTTGCCTTGTGCTCTGCACCTGCTGCTCGCCCATGGATGCAACTTCGTGCTCCGCGCTTGCTGCTACGCCCATGGATACAACTTTGTGCTTCGCACCTACTTCCGGCCCACTTCGCTTCCCATGCGCATGGGAGATCGTTGCGCCCAAGGGGACCACTTTCGCCTGCACCCACTTGCCGCGTCTGCTCTATGAAACACTTGTAACATAAAATATTTGCTGCAACATACGTCCCAAACAAATAAAATTTTCAACATATGTATATGTGCACTGCAACATATGCAATATCCAGATAAAACACTTGCAACATATGTTTGAAAGAGCTAAAGCATTGAAACATACACTTGCAACATACATGTATAGCCAGCGCAACATATGCAACATCCAGATAAAGCACTTGCAACATACGTTTGAAAACAGCTGAAACATTTGAAACATACACTTGCAACATACATGTATAGTCATTGCAACATATGCAAAACCATATCTACTTTTGTAACATCCAGATAAAACATATGAACATACATCTGAAACGCATGAAACATACGGTTACAACATGTGTTCATCTACTTGTTGTCCCCCAATGGACGCTCGTTGACGCGGAACTTTGCAGATACGGAGCTCGATGCCACGGCGTGGAGGTCGGACCTTGGTTGTGCGCAGCATGAGTCCAAGCAGGAGGCGCAAGGTGCGGTGAAGCGCAACACGAGGTGCGACCGCGCGAGGCACGAGGAGCGGGAGCAAGCGGGTCCGTCCCATCCGGCCGGATGGACGCTCGGTAGAGAGCATTATCGATTCTCAAAATTCATGAATAGAAAAATATAGGATTGAAATTGTACGAAAAACTTAACATCCAACATTGTAGCATTTGGATAGAATATAGGAAAAATATAGAAATTTCAAAAGTTTCCATGAGGTATCAGCCTCATACACACTAGTTTTCCTCCAAAATTCCAATGACTTTGTACATATTTATCAAATTAATCCAAAGGAGATTCATAAGATTTAAATCATTTCTTCCAAAGCGACATAGGTAATTTCCCTATAGAATTGAAATCCTCCGAAATTCCTATATTTTTCTTTTGTTTCAAAGGAACCCTTAATCAAGATGGTTGAGCCAGAAAGCCAAAAATAAAAACTTGATGGACCTGCGCTAGCCCACTCTCGTAGGCGTAGCCCAAAACGGTCATGGACCCGCAACGAGCCAAGCATGAAAATCAATTAATCATCTGTGATGCCAAAGCAGCAGAGTGAAACAGGGCGGTGTCTGATTCCCATTTCCCAGACAGCAACTCAAAAACATGTTCATCACCAAATCTGAAATACTGTTCATCTGAGCATTGGTTAGAAATCTAATGGCCTAAACCGGCGCAGCAGTGACAATTTCCCACTACGTTTGCTTCATTATTATTACACGAAGACACATTAGACATCTGCTCTGGGCAAATCGGTGTGACAATCTTCATGTTCCAAAAAACAGTATACTAGATGGCTGCAAGAAATAGATCCTTACACCATCAGCTGCGCAATGTCCTTGCGGAAGACGCCCTCCATCAGACTCTTCCTCTTCGCGGTGACCGACCGGAACGGGGTGTAGGAGATGCGCCTGCACTGGCTGCTCGCGCTGATTCTGTTGGGCTGTGTCATCGTGGGCAGGACGGGGAAGGACTTGGGTCGAATGTTCAGGCGCGAGAACAGCATCTTTCCGCTCGAATCGTGGGGTGAAGCTTTTGAGGCGGTCTTCTGTGCCCCCGTGCTCCTGCTTGCGCTCGAAACATGTCTGTACTGCTCAGAGCTGCCGTTTGGTGGGCCTGGAAGACGGGGGCGGATCTCTGCTGATGGCTTCATGCGATCAAGCCAGCGAAGGATTGCATTTCCGAGGTTACGACCAACCTCTATGTCTCTCTGCTGAATGTTCTTGTGCACTGACACTGCAATATTGAAGACATCCTGTGTGCGCCTGCAGAACAGAGGAGCCGGAAAAAAGGAATCAATCTCGGTAGCATGGGGAAAAAATGATGCAGGCTTTGATTGGTCATGTAAAATGCATAGAAATCATTGAGTAAATCTGTTGAGTGCCTAGTTTGGCTAATTCCTCCCTGGGATCTCCAAAGGAAAAATATAGGGGCGGCCAATTGGAATTTGTTAATACTTAGTCTTTTTACAATGGTCAGTATAACTGGTTTCAACACAAATGCTAGTAGGACTTCTCCTAACTTAAGTGAAAGGTTCATGAAATGGGTATATTGCTATTTACAAGCCACCAGTGTCTGATATCGATATCGCATACTAGTAGCAAAATCCGGATGGTGAATAAATATCATGGTGATGTACAGTTTACCAATGAATTAAGACAATTAGTATTCAATCATCAACAAAATGAGCTTTGCAGGGTTAATCGAAAATCACATGTTTCATCTAAAGTACAGGTTTGGTTGATTGAGTAATGAGTACTCCTAGCCGTCAAAATGTAATGTGTACACAGTTAAATGCCAGTACAACCAAACATTTGAATTTCTGGATGAAGTGAAGCTCAAACGTCCCAATATACAATGTACCAGGATACCAGCAAACCCCTCAACAAAATGAGCTTGGTGTATATCATATACTATTCAGAAACAAGGGGAAATGAATGTGAAGGGCATGGACGCTTCCAGCAATCCCTTCCTATAGACACCGCTTAATTATGCAATTAGGAACGCATAACACCAAGTCACCAATATAGCAGCTTGTGCTAAGGTAAATGATGTTGCCTAAAACCGAAGCTGCTATGCTAAGGTAAAGGCAAAATGATGTTGCCTAAGCGATTGTATAGCGGCACCCGCATTGGCACCGGTAGCGAGGGCGGGCAGCGGCAAATGTTCGTGCCGATAAGCAGGCCGCGAGGATTGATCCCGAATCAATGCAGATAGGCCTGGTTTTTGGAAGCACGGGATCAGCTCTCTACCTCCCCTTCTTCTCCCCTAGGTTGTACTATTTTGCATCGAATCGAGGCGGTCTCAACCCCCAAACACGAATCGAATCGAAACCGATTTCCTGCAAGCGCACGGCAGCAGGGCAGCTCGGCGAGGCGAATGGGGGAAAGGGAAGGCGGTACCTGTAAACGAAGTCCCGGATCCTGGGGTGGTTGGGCGGGATGAGGCGGCGCTGGATGCGGAGCGCGAGGCGGTAGGTGCGCCTGAGCCCGAGGAAGTAGGCGGTGATGGCCGTGAGCTCCCACAGCACCATGTCGACCCCCGCGGCCTCGCCGGCGTCTCCTCTGGCCTGCTGATCCTCTTCTCTGGGGCGGCCTGGCCCACCAGTGGCGGCGGCGGACGGGGGAGAGCCGGAGAGGGCTTTACGACGGCGGCGGCGGAGTCGCTGGAACAAGGGGGCGGGGGGCCAGACTTGTTGAAGAGGAGGAGAGAGAGGGGGAGGGGGCGCTCGAGAACATGAAGATGCCGTGGCGTGTGTCCGTGCGTCTTCCGCTTCGCTTCTTTCTTGCAAGAGGGGTTTGCCATGTGTAACTTCAACGTTGGTGGAAGGTGGCTGGGACGCCTATCCTACATTAGAGAGATGAAGGCCCAGGGTGTTTATGTATGTTTTATTTAGTTACTGTGTTAGATAGAAATTTCACGACATGTATGTTCTATTTAGTTGGTGCGTTAGATAAAAATTCCACAACTCAGAAAAAACGCGTCACAACCAGCCACAACCAGTCTTTCTCCATGCATTCGGCAGTGGATAGATTAAGCAAGTGGACGCATTCAATGAAGTACAGCTTCCCTGGTGATTGTACGCGGCACACAAATAGACGGTAGCACGTAGCGGGGGACGGTAGATTCTCGGCATGCATGGCCGGTGCCTAATTAGCATGGTGGTCAGCACGCATGCGAGTACGCGTGCGTGCATGCTGCTGGGGCCTTGCTTGCTTTGCATGCATGCATAAGCTATCTGTTTGTGCGTGCAGGTGCACTGCTGACACTTGCTTGCTTATATGCTTGCTGCTACTACGTGCGTGCATATGTGAGCCACGGGTGAGTTTTCCCCCTCTGCCTCCTTCCTCCCTCTCTCTTTGCTCTCAACCTCTCTCTTTGCCTCTCTCTCTCCACGCGGCGACGCATCTAGGCGGATCGGACGAGGTGACAGCGCACCAGCCGGCCAGGCCGGCCAATGGTGCGGGCGGCCCAGCGGCGCCTCTCTCTCTTCCTCTCCCTCTCCCTCTCTCCAGATCTGCGGCCAGATCGGTCGGCTCCCGGCAAGACCAAAGATGCCAGGCCCCGTGGTGGCGCATCCCCTCCCTCCCTCATTGCGCATCTCTCTCTCCTCATCGCTTTCAGGGTGGCGGCCACACACCAGCCCAAGCGCCGGCGATCCTCACTGCGTGTCTTGTGGCGCACCAAGATGAGCGTGCCCGGGGTCCAGGCCTCCGACACCAACAGCCAGCGATGGCAAGCAGGCACCGTCGGTGGCATGCTCCCTCCAGCAAGGCTGGTGCAGGTGGTCTACGCGGCTCCACTGTTTGCTCGCGTTGTTTGCTCGCATGTTGCCTCCTAGCCCCCTCCCTCTCTTTACCTCTATTCAACCCTCCTTCCTTTGCATAATTTTTCATTGCATGTGAGATTTGGACGGGGAATCTTGGTCAAAGGAGGCAAATGAACAAGGGAAGTTCAGTTTCACCTAGATCTATTTTTTGTCCCCTTGTCTTACCGGTTTGCATGCTACTAAGGATTGCTTTATGCGTTTTATAGGTTGTGGCCTGTTTCGGTTGGATCTTGAGAGCACGCAATTATTGTGCCATGGATCTTGATGAGACCTTCAACACTTATTATGGTTTACATGCTTCGTTGTCGATTTTGGTCACCTGCAATGATGAATACACTTTTCCTTCAACACATTTTACTTTGAGGGAATAGGCTCCTAATGGTTATTGTAGTCTTTGATGCAATGATCATGAGCGATCTTTCCATGGTCTACATCTCTTGAATACTAATTTTAATGCTCATGCCGCTATGATGATTCTTCCTTTGAGGCAATAGGCTTTGTCCCATATCTCGAGGCAATGATGATCGGTATTGTCACCTGTTTGATGCAATGATTATGATTGAGGCGATCTTCAATTGGTTGTTCTTGATTTTATGATTTCTTCCTTTGTATAATTTGATGGTTTGCCCAATGAGGGGTCATATTCCTCTCATACTTGCTTATGATCATTATCTCTATGATGTTAATACACACGATTTGTGATGATTTCCTCCTTTGTATACTCGAGATTGTGTTTATTCCTCTCATACTTGCTTATGATCATTGTCTATGATGTTATACACATTCTTCTTGTAATAGCCTTGTGTTTATCATTGTTTGTGACCGTTATATTCTTCTTCATTAAATTATATGATCATTGTTTGTGACGTTGCTTCCTCACATCAAATTATATATCCTATTTCCCTATTCCCATTATTACATTGTCGCTTCGCTTTCCCCTGCTCCTTTGAGTTTTTGGTACAATTAAATTATGTGTGTTTGTCGTTATGTGAACTCGTGTGGATTTTACATTGGTTTTGATACACTACTTTTTGGTTCTTTTATCCAACCCTTTATGTGTTTCATTTGCTTTTGGTCAAAGTGGTCTTCTAAAATCGGGCATGGGCTACGCCTCACATTGTCAAATACTCTGCTCCACGAGAGCTGTGTTTGCAATCCTATCCACTAGAATCAGCCTATTGCCTGATTTTACATTGATTTTAATTGCTTTCTTCCTGTGTTTATCTTGCATCTGATTTAGTCTCCTTCATTCACTTGCTGACCTTGTTGGCCTCGACTGCAGGTTAACACGATACCAATGTTCGTGGAGACATGTTTTATTTTGTGAATGTTTTTCTTGCCACATCCATCTAACTATGTATACATTCTGACGTCCTAAGTAATAGTCTTCTAAATTTCAGCTATACTACGAGCTTGTAATGGTCCTAGGTTCAGTTACTGGGATGCTACATACTGCATGTGTTTTAGTCCACTTATTACTTTCGTTACTAAGAGAATGAGTCTATTTTCCCTAGGTGTGGAGGCTACACGGGCAGATGTAGGCCTTGGCCATACAAAATACAAAAGTAATATGTCTGCCATCTTTACGTGGATGAAAATATTTGCCTGTCATCTTAGACTTTTTTTCCAAGAAGAGCCTCATCAAATTAAGGTAGTAACATAGGCTTTTCTTTCAATAAATTGGTATGCTTGCCAAAAAAAATATTGAAACAAAAATGTAAGGTCAAAGATCTTGAACATTCATACTATTAATTGAGCCTCATCAAATTGCAGATACTAATGTGGGGTTGGTATCTGGCTCAAAGCCGAAAAGGAAGAGACAACATAGTGTTGGGCGTCATTTTTGGGCAATAAGAGTAATCAACAGGTACTATTATGTATGCTCATTGTATGGCAAAAAGAACTTTGCAACTAACAATATTATTATCGTTTTTGTGATGTCTAGATATAGAACGATGTTTCTATTGGAAAGTAGCGATCAGATCACCTTTAAATGCTTGCTTCATGTGGTTCATTGTAATTCAAACCTTTTTTACGAGGTTTGATCTATGATTCAGTTCACACTGTTCGTGTCTATGTTCAGCCTTAAATGTGTCCATTAAAATCTACCCGGTTGTTATCGGCAGCCTGCTCTACTGTCCATTTGACCAAGACAAACAGATAAGATCCCCTCTATTGTTTTGTCCCATGGCAATTGTGGCTTACTCACAATTATTCCCGTATCAGTTTTATTGCGTACTGCATGCCCATTTGCATCGTGATGTCTGTTCTGGATGATTATATATACTGTATGAAGGTGGCTTCCTGATTTTATTCAAAAGCAGTCAGAGCATGTAAAATATTCAGGTAAGTGCCTCTGAGCTTTGGAGCTTTTTTACGTATATACTCTGAACCTTATTTTCCCCCTTCTAACCTGTATTTTACTTAAAGGTTCAGTACCTGCTAAAATTCATGGTGATAGTAACCCTTACTTGGTCATTTGTGGTTTTTGTTGTGGTTCCTACATAGACAAGTTATGGTTTGCTATTTCAGATCCAGTTGCCCTTTTATTTTTTTCAGCACACCCACAGACAATATATTGATTATTTCTCTTACTATGGACATTTGAAAAATTTCTAGGATCATGTGAACAATAACATTTTTTAAGAGTGTTTTGTTTGTTCTGAAAGTTCCAAATATAGTAGTTGTTTGGTTTCTTGAACCTGCAGTGTCTCATATTAATTTATGCAAGCTAAAACATGAACTATTAAGCCTGCTCGGTTTAACTTGCTGCAGCAAGCTATCTCAGCCGCTGTTGTTCACTTATAGAAGACTTCATTCAGCCACATCTGTAGCAGTGGTAGGAAAAGCTTAAGTGAGTAGGCTTCCGTTTGTAGACACCTCCACCTGCAACTAGCCTTGACTAGACACTGTTAACACATCTTTTGATTAACTGAGTCGCACTCCCTTGCACCACCATGTACGAAATTTACATTCACGCGCAGCGTCAGTTCCTTTTTCACCTTTTGCTGTTTTCACATCTCAGTACAAACAGGTGAGCAAAGAATTACATAATCACTGCATGGAAAGCTATTCCGAGACTCTGAAAAGGCGGACCCACCGCCATATCCTTACTCACCCTCTTCACGACTTTTTAACTCAGAAACCACACATACCCCATCTAACAGCTTAAAAGTTTGAGTGTGCTCTCTTATACACCTCGACAGTCTATAAAGTACTTAAACATTAGATTTTCACTAAGCAGGAAAAAATAGCCAGTGAAGAAACCTTTGACTTATCATATGGCACCTATATTTTTTGGTCTAATACCCTTAGCAGATGTATGTTGCTCCAAAAAGGGTTGGAGGGAAGTAGATATCTTTTGAATTTGTCGTCATACGTATGGATTTTTTTTAAATTTTAACCCTTTTTTGAATATAATTTTAAATCTAACACCGTCGGTTTTTTTTAAACTAATACTTTTGACCGCGCCTATTGCCCTGGCGCGGCCAAATGCCTGTGCTGCACCATGCATGGTGGCGCGGCAGCGAGCTGACGTGGCGACGACCGAAATCGCTGACCGCTGACGTGGCAGGGCCTGCCGCGCCACCGATCTTGGCGCGGCAGTGCCGCGCCATCCATCACGGCGCGGCAGGGATCGACTTGAATGGACTGTGAAAGAGACCGAAAGAGATCGCTCGGTTGCTCTGTGCGGCCTCGTTGAC